CCATCACTTTGTTGATGTGCAGTGAGAAAGATTCTCTGAAGAACAGCTCTGACAGAACATGTAATACCAGCATGTTCAGGTGAGAGTGAAAGGCAGAGTTTTCACAGTCCTGCCTGTGCCTCTTGAGACTCTTGTCACCAAAAGTGGCTGATTTGATGTTTATGGTGATTGTGGTTCAAGCTAACTGTACACTCTCACCATGGAAACAGGAATTGTCTCACAACAAGCTTTTAGGAGGATTGATTGTTAATTTGCTTTGCATAACCCTCTCAGGTATCCTCTGTTACCCCAACAGTTCCCATGTGATGTATAACCAGAGCGGCCTACATCACTCTACTATAACAGCTGAGTGTAAAAGAAAGGAAATCATTTCATCTATGACTGAAAGTGTTAACACTGAGCAGTGGATACTTGTGGTGTCTCAAGCTATTTTCTCTGTAAAGTTTGTGAAGAACATTTTCTAAACAGGCCCAAGAAGTTATTCCTGTCATTAGGAGCTTAGAGATATTAAATTCTCCTTTTGTACTAGATATGACATACATTTATAGAGGATAGATAACTGCAATGAACTTATAAATAAATAAATGGTTAAGTATAGTAATTCATGTGCAAAATATTGCATCAAAAAAAAACAAAAAAAACAAGGACTTTAAACCCATTAGCACCTTTGACACAGACCTCTGTGCCGTGCTGATGTTTGCTTTGCAAAGTGGGGGAACAAAATCCTCCTGACCACAAGTGGGAAGCAAAGCCATAACATGGTCGGTTTGGTTAACATGAAGCCAGTAGCCAGTCCTCCCACTGTTTCTATGATGACCAAGTTCATACCTCAACGATGGACTGCCACTGATACTGCAGGTTGCTTCACTTTTGTATTAGGTTGTTTTGTTTTGGGTTTTTTTTGTGGATGCTGAAAGCAGTCTGGGTATTTAGCATGGTGAGAAGTGGGAGCTGAACACTTGCAGGGCTACTGAGCTGAGACTATGTAAACTCTGGGAAAATAAAGGATGCATAGTGTTTTATTAAACCAAAGCTGAGGAGAGTGTTATAAGAACTTAAATATAAACATTTTATGGCTTCTTTTGTCCATATATGAAATGAGGAGTTCAAAATGGAGGGGATAATTGCTGACTGGGGCCAAAGAGACACAATGGAGTTGATGCAA